TCAGAAGACAAGAATGAACATGTTGACATGGGATGGATTTCAATGAATTATAAAGAAGACAATGACACATCGGCTAGACTCAGGAATGAGCCACTGGGGGTGATTGTGGTAAATTTTTCTTTGTTATTTTTAAGTAAGATATTCATTAGATCAGGATCTTTTAGATGTGATTCCATTTAAAGACAAAAGAAATTGGCTAAAAGAGTAAGCAGGACCCCTTTCAACTCGCAAAGTATACGTGTGCGGTATGCATAGACCTACAGGATAAATGTAAATTATTTTCAGTAAAGCATTTACTACTCTTCAATAATCTAACCTTTTCTATACAATACACACCTTCTACCCAAACCACCTCATCACTCAACTGTCTCCATGACCTGCTATGTTCATTAGCACTTTCCACACCATTCACAATAATCCCATCAACCTATGCCCCTCTCCTCCTTGCAGGCCACCCCCTAAAGGCTGATGAATTTGTTTCCATATCTGCCACAAAATCTTTCTCCCCTCTGCTCCTAGCACATTCTGAGGTTCTATAGTGTGAGCCCATCTAGATCAGTGTTTCTTAAATTCAATATTCTCATAAACTCTGAGAATATGAATCCAATTTTAGAACCTTTGATTTAAGAGACTCTATATAAAAATGTATTTTAAAAAGCAGGTTATATTGGGTGACAGTTTGCAGTTTCTTACAAAACTAGACACTTGCATAAAAGGAATTGAAAACTTATGTACACACAAACACTTGCACGTGGATGTTTATAACAGCTTTTTTTCATAACTGCCAAGACTTGAAAGCAACCAAGATGTCCTTCAGGAGGCAAATGATTAAACGTGGTATAACCAGACAATGCAACATTATTCATCACTAAAAGAGAAAGGACCTGTGAAGCCATGAAAAGACATAGAGAAACCATACATGCATATTGCTAAGTAAAAGAAGCAATCTAAAAAGGCTACGCATGTATGATTCCAACACTATGACATTCTGGAAAAGGCAAAACTATGGAGACAAGAAAATACGGTGGAGAAGGAAGCACTCTGCATCTGTCTCCCTCTAGGCAATAATTTTGCTGGCAGAATATGTCTAATATAATTTTTTTTGGATTCTGAAGCCTAGTGAAGGCTTGCATCTTCCAAAGAAAGGCTTAGAAAGTAAATTGGTGTTAACTCTGGTCAATTTTAGCACTTAGCACAGTGGCAACCACGCATGCCCCAGCCCTCATGCAAAAGAGTAAAACTGAACCCTTACCTAACATCATACCCCAAAATTAATTTCGAATGGATCAACGACCTAAATGTATGACCTAAAACTATAAAACTCATAAGAAAATAGCAAATGCTTCATGACACTGGATTTGGCAATGTCTTGGATGTGACACCAAAAGGCAAAGTAACTGAAAAAAACTGAACTTCATTAAAATTTTTATGCATCTAAAAACAATATCCACAGAGTAAAAAGTCATTTTCTATTTCCAGAGTATATGAACCAGAAGTTATGTGGGTTTATGAAAAAAAATTTTTTTTGGTTGAAGCATTTTAAAGTTTCACTAAAAAGGATGGATTTGAGTTGGGTCATAAAGAAAGGGTAGGATTTTGATGACAGCATTCCAAGCAGAAAGGACAGCATTAGTTCAGGGGCAGCAGAGGGAGAAAGGGAGAACTATATGAGGAAGAGGGAGTGGTTTGGTTTGATTGAAGCACTGGACACTGTAGTTAAGAAACAGAAGAAGATAAGGTTACAGGGTAGGCCAAAGAGAGAAACTGCAGCCAGACTTCAGGGGAGGCTTGTATGTCAGATTAATGAGTCTTAATTTAGTAGGTGAGTGGGAGCCACAGAAGTTTTGGAGCAGGCAAGTAAGTATGAGTACCACAGCTGAGTTTTAAGAAAAATTAACTTGACAGGAAAGCACAAAATACACTGAAGGAAGAAGAGACTGGGCGGCAGCATGATGTAATGGTTGTTAAGTCGACTTTGATGATGGATGGAACAGAGTTTGCAACTTAGCTCTGCCACTTACTGTATAACTGGAGCAAGTTATTTTACCTCTTTGAGTCTCAGTTTCCTCATCTTTTATTTATTTTTAAAAATATCTTATTTATTTATCTTTAGAGAGAGGGGAAGGGAGTGAGAAAAAGAAACATCAATGTGTGGTTGCCTCTCATGTGTTCCCTGCTGGGACCTGGCCTGCAACCCAGGTATGTGCCCTGACTGGAATCCAACCTGCGAGCCTTTGGTTCGAGGCCCATGCTCAATCCACTGAGCTACACCAGCCATGGCTTAGTTTCCTCATCTTTTAAATCAAGGATATATAATCCTTGATTTAATCAACCTTTATAATCAACCTTTAAGGCTGATTACAATCAGCCTTATATTGTGAGGATTAAATGAGATAATGCACAGGGCCTGGCCCAGCATTTACACTCAGTAAATGACAGCTACTAAGCATACCTGTTAAGAGACTATTAGGAAAGGGAAAGAAAGGACTATCAGTTATGGATTGTACTACAGAGTATGAACATTCAGCTGTGTTTTAGGGGAGAAAGCAACATAAACCTCCAAGGTTCTGAGCCCGACTAATAGGAAAGTGGTGGTAACACTGATTCTGAAGACTTAACTGATGAGACCCTAGATCACGGGTGGCAAACACAAGGCCTGTGGGCTGAATCCCGCCTTCCATCTTCTTTTACCCAGCAGCAGTGCTGAGCTCCTTGCCCCTACTTAAGGAGTTACATTTACACAGTCCTAAAATTACCTTTGGCCCCTTGAAGGCCAAAGGTAATTTGCTGAAAGGCTGATGTGGCCCCCAGGGAAAATGAGTTTGACACCCCTGCCCTAGATGCTGTTTAGAGCTAGAGGAAAGGGGTTCACTTGGTTTTTTTAACATGTTTAGCTTCAGGGGCTGAAAAAGTTAGTTATCCAGTGGTGATTTCAAGTATATATTACTAAGTTAGTCAACAGAAATGGGGGACTGGTACAGAGAGATTGATAGTTTGTCAAGGCTAGACCAATATATTTAAGAGTCATAGGGAGGAAATAAAGCAAGCTGTGGAAATAGAGGAAATCAACAAGGACAAGGAGTAGAGAAAGGAGTCTAAAGACATAGTCTAGAAATGCTTATTTCAGGGGTGTGGGGAAAGGGAGGAACCTCTGAAAGGGGCAAAGATTACATGGTTAAGAGAGTAAGATGAGGATCCAAGACAGAGGAGTTTCCCTGCCTATTCTAAATGATTGGTGGGAAAGCACTGTTTTGAACTGAGCTAGTGAGAACTGTTCTCCAAAATGTTTTCTCCTAGCTTGTGGCAGGACCATTAACATGATAAACACGTTAGTCATATTGAATTACCAACAGTACTTACAGGCAAAACTCCCCAGGGATCTCGCTCTCAGTGGAACATAACTCTCAGTGGAAAGCAAAGCTCTTTAACGTTTCAAAATAGCAAAATAAATTTCATATTAAAGAAAAATCCAGGCAACAGCTGGAGCTTCTTAGAACCTTTAGAAATGGGTCCTGTGTCTGGTAAAGCCATTTGTTCCCAAGTAGAGATTATGTACTTTAAAGCATCTTAATTCATGGAGTGAATCTTTGTGTGTGGTAATGATGTAATATGACATAAGTGAAATTTAATTCAGCTCACACAAAAAAGGCAAGTTATGCTTCACTGTATTTTTGTCTTTCTGGAAGTGAACATATAAATGCTTGTACCTAGAAAACAGAGGGAGGTTGTATACCAAATTAACTGGTATCCTCTTTAGGGAAAATGTTTATGAGTGATTAAAATGTTGTTCTTCATGCTTTTCAACATTTTCCAAAATTATTATAATATAATTTCATCAATTCTTAAATATTAAAAATGCTATTTAAAATAAAGATGCCCTGGCCAGGTGGCTTAGTTGGTTGGAGTGCTGTTTCAAAAGGTTGCAGGTTTGATTCCTGGTCAGGGTACATTCCTAGGTTGCAGATTTGGTCCCCAGTCAAGGCGCATACAGGAAATAATCAATTGATGGATCTCTCTTTCCCTCTCTCTCTCTCTCTCCCCCTCCCTCTTTCTCTAAGATCAATAAACATATCCTCAGGTGAGGGTTAAAAAAATCAAAATGAAATAAAGAAATGGTCCATGACCTATGTGCATTGAGTCTTCCAAGAAAGGAAAATAAAAATCATACCTCATTATGGCTTATTTTACCATATAATACTATAAAAATGACTTGTCAATAAATGTCCACATAGATAAGTCAGGAAAATAAAAGACTATATGTTATAAACTGAAAATCATTAAGGTCTAAACTACACAATCTACTAAATTTATTGCTGGGATTTTAGGATTGACTTTTAGCATTTGTATATAATTCAATAGATCCTTCAGAGGGATGAAGGCCTACACATGGAAGAAAGTTTTCTCAAGTAAAAAAGGTCATCTGACAAGTGCCCTGAATCCATAAGGGTCCACAGCATGCAATTTCTCCAGTGGAAAGCTTTCTCCTAGCCTGTGGCACTAGCATCAATATGGCATAACTATTGTAATAATATTAGATTACCAACAATGCTTACAGGTAACACTCCCTAGGAATATAGCACAAACACAGGTTCTACAGCTGCAAAGGTTCCAGATGGAGAAGCCCAGAAGGCCCAGCGTGTGAGCTGCTTTGATGGCAGATGAGTCATGAATCTCTGGCTAATGTATCAGTCACCTTAGCAATGTAAAGGGGTCCGTGGGGGACTAGCAATGCAACTTTCAGGATACAGGAATAATGTAAAGTGATATAAATGAAACTGAACTCTGAGTACAGCTTGTTGCTTTGATTGGTCCTGGCTTAGGCTTGCTCAATAAATAGGGCTCTCCTGGCAGTGAGAGAAAGGAAAAACACAGCCAGTAAATCTTATGTTGGCTTCAAATCTGTTATTTCTCAACTATTTTGTCTTCATTCTACCCAAGATTCACCACAAAAGCTGAAACAACTAATGTTTTAATCATTTGTAATTAGAGAGGAAACTTACCAGTTTCAATCCTGTTATCAACACCTGTACTGACTTTTGATGCACAGATTTCGTCTGTCACACAGTTTTTCATTGTCTTCTCCCTGGAGCTGCCACATAGAATAATTGATTTAAAACTCAAAAGAAGGTTTCTGAGATCACCAATAAATGCTATTTAGAAAACACTAATTCATGATGATCTACATTTTAAAATGCTCTAGAACATACTAATTTCACAAAATTTTTGGTTAAAGCCATTTTAATTTTATTTATTTTTAAGATTTTAAATTTACTTTTAGAGAGAGGGGAAGGGAAGGAGAGAGGGAAACATCAATGTGTGATTGCCTCTCTTGCGCCCCCTACTGGGGATCTGGCCCACGATCCAGGCACGACCCTTGCCCTGACTGGGAACTGAACCAGTGATCCTTTGGTTTCCAGGCTGGCACTCAATCCACTGAGCCACATCAGCCATGGCTAAAGCCATTTTTAAAGTCATATTTTACTGGGAACATGATAAAGAACAACATTTGTAGCTCAGCCTTTCAAGTATGAAAGCCAGAAAATTCAGAATGTGCACATTCTGTTTTCTTGATGCAAAGTCAGGTCTGAGCATCAGCCTGCGAACTGAAAGGTTGCTGGTTTAATTCCAAGTCAGGGTAAATGCCTAGGTTACAGTCCAGGTCCCCACTTGGGGGCTTATGAGTGGCAACCTTTCCCCACAACATTAAATATCCCCACATATCCCCACAACATTAAATATTCTTCCCTAGAATGAGTTTTTTATTTATTTGCTTTTTTATTGCCTTTTCTCTCCACTAGAACATAAGCTCCATGAGAACAGTGACCTTGCTTTTCTTGTCTAGGAAGCTCTTTATCTGCCCTTCAATTCTAAACGATAGCTTTGCTGGGTACAGCAATCTTGGCTATAAGCCTCCACTTTTCATTACTTTGAATATTTCTTACCAATGCCTTCTAGCCTGCAAAGTTTCTTTTGAGAATCAGCTGACAGCCTTATGGAAACTCCCCTATAACAAACTGCTTTCTCTTGCTGCTCTTAAGATGCTCTCTTTATCTTCAACCTGTGGCATTTTAATTACAATGTGCCTTGCAGTATGACTCTTTGCATCCATTTTGTTTGGAACTCTCTGCCTCGTGGACTTGCATATTTATTTCCTTTGCCAAATTAGGGAAGTTTTCTTTCATCATCTTTTTCAAATAGATTTCCAATTTATTGCTCTTTCTGTTCTTCTGGTATTCCTATGATGCAAATGTTAAACCTCTTGAAGTTGTCCCAGAAGCTGCTTATACTATAGCCTTCTTTGGACTCTTTTTCCTTCTTGTTCAGATTGGTTGTTTTTTGCTTCTTTATGTTCCAAATCATTGATTTGATTTTTGTCTTCATCCACTCTACTGTTGTTTCCCTGTAAATTGTTCTTCATTTCATTTAGTGTGTCCTTTGTTACTGACTGGATTTTTTTATGCTGTTGAGGTCCTAAGTAAGTTCTTGAGCATCATTATGACCAGTGTTTTGAACTCTGCATCTGATCGATTGCTTATCTCCATTTCAGTTAGCTCTTTTTCTGGAGTTTTGATCTGTTTTTTTCATGTGGGCCATGTTTCTTTGTCTCCTTGTTTTTGCAGCCTCCTTGTGTTTGTTTCTGTGTATTAGAGCTGCTTTGACTCTTGTATCTTAGTACTGTGGCCTAATGTAGTAGGTGTCCTGTAGGGTCCAGTGGCACAGCCTTCCCTATCACCCAAGCTGGATACTCAAAGTGAACCCTTTATGTGAGCTAAGTACACCTGTCTCCTATAGTTGAGACTTGATTGCTGTTGGCAGGCCAATGGGTGGGAATTACCCAGGTCAGTCATCTGCAAAGACTGGCTGTGACCACTGACCACCAACCTCTGCCCTCTGTGAAGGATCAACTGTGCAAGGGTAGGGTGGTAGTGCTACAAAGTGGTCTGTAGATGTCCAGTAGGTGGGTTGGCCCTGGGGTTTCTTAGGTGGTAAAGGCCAAAGTCAGCCCCCACCTGTATTTTGCCTGGAGCCATGCTGCCTGAGCTATAAAGCAATATGAGATGGCTGCTACTTGTGCTGGGCTTGGAGATTCCTAGGCTGGTTGCTGCTAGTGCCAGGCCTGGGCCTCACTGAGGCCAGCTGTTGCTTGTTTGAGAGAATTCAGAAGTTGCGAAGCTTAAGCCAAGACCAGCCATTCATATTGGGTGGGGCAGAGTCTCTGGGGATCTCCAAAGCAGGTCAAACAGTGTCAGCTAGGTTGATGGAGTCTCAGATACAGCACTAGCCCGCTGGCTGTGTGCAGAAAGCGTTCAGAAAAGGGACAATGGCCTCTGTTCTCCTTGTTGCCTGATACCTCAGTTTCTCCCTCTATGCCAGTGGTGCCTTTCAAACCCCTACCTTGGTGCTGGAGCTCAGAGGGAGTAAGCCTGAGTCCATGTGTAGGTTCTTTAAGAGGAACTGGTTGGGGCTCCAGCAACTCTATCCACTAACTCAATCCCCTCTGGTTTTTCCAGCCAGAAGTTGTAGGGACTTTTGTTCTTGGCTCTGGAACCCTAGGCTGCATGGCCTGGTGTGGGGCTGGGACTCCTTGCTCCCGAGATATCCCTCCCAAGTTTTTATCTATTACACGTGGGTGAAGGACCAGCCCATTCCTTGTCTGCATCCCTCTACCAGTCTGGATGGATGTGGTTACTTTAATTCCATAGGTGTCAGACTTCCATTCAACTCTATTTCTGACAGTTCTGAGTGATAGTTGTTCTATATTTTAGTTGTAATTTTGATGTGGTTGTGCAAAAAGGTGAACCATGTCTGCCTAAACTGCCATCTCAATCCAACTTTTTTTAAAAAGCATGTGTTTTGGAGTAGAAGATACAGTACCTTATTTTGATAGGATTTTAGTAACAAAGAATAGAAATTCTACCACTCATTTACCTTAGAGCTTCAAGGTCTGTTTACTTTTGGTTTTGTAGAAAAATTCTTCCGTTATTATTTTTTAACAAATGTATTTCTAACAACCCTGCCTATGGTAACATAATGCTTCTAATTCAACAGGAAAAGACCAGGTACTGATTTATAACTCTACCAAGAAAAGTTTGTAAGCAGTTGTGCAGATAATAAGTTACCTCACAGTATCTCTATCTATAAGCTTTCAACACAACTTTAGAGTTTACAAATATATTCAAAACAGATCCAATAGTTTAGGAAAGCAGAAATGTTCCCACTCAGGGCCATAACCTCATCCCAGATAAATCTCAGTATGTTGGACAGATATTTTATCTTGGATCTGTTTTGTAGAGATTTCTGCTAGAAAATGAAGAAAGTTAAGCAGGAATTCATTGCTCTGTATGTCTAGATCCAAACTAAAAAACTTTTTGTACAAAATCTTCTTACCTTTTTTCCACCTCTAAAAGAAAATTTTCACTGTTGCCCAACTGACTAAAATGCAGCTTGGCAGCTTTTCTCTCACTTTCTCGTACGGCTCGGTCATCTGGAGGCAAAAACCGTGATTTGAGCATGTTTCTTTTTCAAAGTAGATAGTGGTAAATCAGAAAATCATAATCACTCAGTAAAAACTAAAGACCAGTCTTTTGTTAGAGACAGGTCATAAAATAATGCTATTATGTTGTCACTGGAGCAAGTAGTAACTCCGGGAGACTACCGGATACCATAGCAACAACTACCTCATAGGTGTAACTAGCCCTGCAGTAGAGCTTGCTTGGGCAGCAAAGACCTCAATGGCCCAATCTTAAAGCGGAAAGTTACACCATTTCTTAGAGACTTCTCTTAGTTTCCCTACAATAACCTTCCCAGGAACATACAAAATCAAATTTTATATCAATAAAGGTATACTCAACAATAACATTATAAAGAAATAGACTAATTTGAAGGAATATTTATTGTTCCTTGCCAATGCAGCCCCAAAGAGTTATATTTATTTTCTACTGCTAATATAGTTACAAAGTTGAGGCATCTGGAAAAATAAATTTCAACCTGGAAACTTTTTGTTGGGGAGGAAATGGTGGTGAAACCATCAGCTAAAAAAAAACTAAAGCTGGAAGCAACTGATAAAATCATAGATTGTCATTCAATAAACAATAAAAGGACTTGTCATACATCCTGCCAACAAAAGAGTTACATAAATATTGACTAATAAACAAATATATCCTGCCAGTGCACAATTTGAGTGAACATTGAAAAATTAAGAGGCAGCTGGTTTAAAGTAAGATTCTGGGGCAAGTAACGGGAGGAGGGTCTCACCCAGTTTCTCCAGAGTTTGTAGCGTGTACACAGCAAAAAGCCTATAATCTGTATCTTTCCTGACAACAGGATTGAGTCTCAAATCTAGTTCTTTGAGGAAGGGTAAAGGCTGCAGGCGGGACACCTCCACTAATGAAGGAATGTTGTTATAATATAAATTCAGGTCTTGGAGTGAACATAAATACTGGATGCCCTGCAAGGAAAAGACCACATTATGAAACTACATGTTGATAAGGACTAGGAATCTCACAAATAACGGTGGAAATATATCTATTACTTTCCACTCATAAACATGTAATGCAAGTCATCAATGAGAAAAGCAGGGTTGCAACTCTCTTATTCTGAGAAGAATACTCAGGGTTAATAATTCACAGATCTCATACATCTCCTCCTTTACAAAACCTGACATTTAAATAGCTGCAGTGAATGCCCTACTTCCGTTGCTTCCTGATCACTCTCCCAGTCCAGTCCTTCCTAGTGGCAGCCAGGCAAGTCCCTTTTGCCCTTCTCTCACTCTTGTCACAACCACACCCCTGACCCCAGAAACACCACAATTTATAGGAGGAAGGGAGGTGGGCAAAAGAGATGGTTCTGGGGGAGAAGGTCAGTGGACTATATGGTAAAATAAAACAATGCTATCTCCAGGTCTTCCCCCCTGGACCGGTCTAGAACCCCTCTCGTCCTTGTTTCCCCTTTCAGAGTTACTGCCACCATATAATCAAGTTCTCCCTTCTTTAGTTCTCCTTCCGTGGGTTAAGAAATCCCACCCCTCCATTTATTTGGCAACAACAGAATCAGGACTGGGAAACTCAGAGGAAAAGCTACAATATTCTTCCTTTGCTGAAACCTATTATTGAAAATAATTGTTTAATGTTCATGTATTTGACTAATTCAATGCCTTTGTCCAACACTAAACTTTAGGATAATACTTCAAAACATGTATGTAATATGTATAATCATATACTTTCAGTAATAAAATGCTTACCATAAAAAGGACTCTGTCATTAAAAGTTATTTCAAAAAATTAAAATTATGTTCTACCATGTATTTATAAAATAATGTTTTTACTCTTCTCCCACTTAAAATAGCCTTTTTCTCATTGCAGGTAGTTTAGAAAACTCAAAGATATATACAACACATTTACAGATAGAACCCTGTTTACACTCTGATGCATTTCTTTATGGCTTTTTCAATTCCATTAATTTCTATATTGTGAAAGGGATAGCGGTTAAACTACTTATCAGTGCCTTTGGCCACACTCTCAGGGAAATACACCATTATGATTGTCTTTAAATGTGTCTAAGGCCCCAGCTCAAGAAATCTTTTAATGTCTCTCAGTGTAAAAATCAAGGAAATGACTTCTCCTTTCACTTTTCCTAGTTGGCATGAATTCATATATTCCCCAAAGTTACACTAGAAATAATCATAAAACATATCTCCCCTGAGAAAACTAAGCAAAATGATTCAGAATTAATAGAGATTAATATATGTAGATAAATCATAGATGCAAAAAATGTAGAAAACTAACATTGACTAAGTGCTTCCTATATGAACCAGGAGTCTTATAAATGTTATATGTGACTATATATGCTAATTTGGTCAATCTTTGAAACAGTTTTATATCTATTTTACAGAAGTGGAAAGAAAAAGAGTATAAAACAAATTATAGCATTGTTCACTCAATTATTTTAGCCTGAATAAGAAAAAAAGTACATATGATAAGAGAAGACCTAAGCAGCTCTGAACTAATACTTTCTGAAGCTGGTGGGCCCAATGTAAATGGCTGCTACCAAATAATCTAAAGCCCCAGGTCAACTTGGACTTCCTGCATTTTAGAGTACTAGCTGGAAATTTGGACTTCCTCTTTTAGGGCCTTTAGTTTTAGACATTGACATTGGGTCTGGCTTGTGTTTTCGAATAAGTATCCCCTAGGAAGTGCAAAATTAGCAGAATAATCCAGGAGATCATGAACTAATGCTATATAGCATCTCAGAGTTTTTCACCTTCTTTAGTCTTTATTTATTTATTTATTTATTTATTTATTTATTTATTTATTTATTTATTTTCAGAGAGAGGGGAAGGGAAGGAGAGAGGCAGAAAAATATCAATGTGTGGTTGCCTCTCATGCATCCTCTGCTGGGAACTGGCCTGCAACCCAGGCATGTGCCCTGACTGGGAATCAAACCGCAATTCTTTGCTTCACAGGCCCGTGCTCAATCCACTGAGCTACACCAGCCAGACCTCACTTTCTTTAGTCTTGCAAAGAAGGGCTTTATCAAGACAGGTATATAGCTGGGCAAAATGGGAACATGTGGCAGAAACACCTCTGTGTGTGCACACTTATGTCCATAGAGCTCTTTTTGTGTATTTAGTGTGTTTACTATTCTTCACATGCCGTTTAATTTCCTGCACTGCCCTTTGCTCCACCGTTCCCTGACCTGGAAATTTTTGTTTCCAAGGCCACCATTTCCTCCTCTTCCTTGAAAAACCTCACAGTAACAACTTAGTCCAGTGTTTCTTCAGGTGTGTTCTGCATATGAATGCCATCCCTGGGATATTTCCTGAGCCCATGTCAGACCCACTAACTCAGAATCTCTCTTGGAGTAGGGACTAAGAATCTATACCTTTATAAGTGCTCCTCATAATTTTTCCCACACATTAAAATGTGTACTGTTGCTCTAGGCTGTGATAATTTAATGTAGTTTTCCCTACTACAAAAGGAATTTTCCCAATATTTTATAAAAAATAAAAAATTTCAAACATAGAACAAAGTCAAAAGAATTTTACAGTGAATAATATAATTCAGTTTAGAAACATTTAAAAGGAAGACGCAATATTTCCCTAGCTGACATTATCTATCTCTTATTTCTTCCCATCAAAAAATAAATAAGCCCTGGCCAGCGTGGCTCTGTTGGTTGGAGCATCGTCCCATAAACTGAGAGGCAACCAACTGATGTTCTCTTCCTCTCTCTCCCTTCTTTCCTCATCTCTAAAATCAATAAGCTATCCTTGGATGAGGGTTAAGTAAATAAACAAATAGGCTGAACTGGCTGATCAGTGAATGTAGAACTTACCTTCAGGCTAGTGATCAAATTTCTTGATAAATCTAAGGATCGGAGGTTTTTAAAATTTCTGAAGGCATCACCAATGGAATGGATTTTTCCAGCATAAGATCCCTGCAATGAAAGAGACTCCACCAATTCTGAAAAGAGATCATCGGTAGATGTATTATGACCTCTGCGTGGATAAAGAGCAGTCAGTGAAAATAGGCCTTCCTTCCTCCCATATCTCACCTGCGAAAGGCCCTACCTCTAAGGCTAATAAGATCAAATCTTTCTTTTAAAAGCAACAATATAATCTAGTACAGTCATAAAAACCTTGGTTTTACAAAACCCTTGGGTTTCCCTAATTACCCTGAAGGATGTACTTAAAGTCTCCAAAAGTTCTCAAAACATAATTTTAAAAAAGTCCAAAACTCCCACTGTTAGGATTTAGCCTTGTAGATAATACTTGCAAATTTTTGCCAAGATATATAATATATAACACAAGGATGTCAACTGCAGAAAGGTTTTAGGAGAGTTGGAAAAAAAAAGGAAAGAAAAGAAAGGGTCCATCAGCAGAAGAGTAGAACTAGATATACTAAATAGCAGTATGTTGACACAATGGGAAATGTACTAGATCTGTGAACTTGTACAAATCACTTAACTTCTTTGTGCATTAGTTTACTCACCTGTAACATAAAAATAACAGTATTTAATTCATAAGGTGTTGTAGGATTAAATGAATATGTATACAAAGCTTAGTACCAGACATATGGTGAGTGCTATGTATGTGTGTTTATTATTGTCATGCAGTCATTAAAAAGAATGAGATGTATTTATAGATGCTCATATGGAAAGCTCTCCAAGACATACATTAAGTGAGGAAAGTGTGATTGTGTGTGTATAACTGCACTTTAAAGTGCATATATATGTATACAAACACTTTAAAATATATATAAAGCATATATATATAAAGTGTGTGTGTATATATATATATATATATATATATATATGCAGAGAGAGAGAGTATATGGAGAGAGGGAGGGAGATAGATGTGTCAACTAGACTTCTAAGAGCACTGAGAAGAGGAGAACCTCCAAATTGTTAATAGGAACTCACTGGCAAGTCTGTGTGATGGGCCAAACTGAGAATAACAATCAAAACCGAAAGGAGGCAGGCCTGCAAACCAAAAGGCTGCCAGATCAATTCCTGGTCAGGTTACATGCCTGGGTTGTGTTGGGGCATGCGAGAGGCAACCATCTACGTTTCTCTCACACATCAATGTTTCTCTCTTTCTCCCTCCCTTTCTGTCTCTTTAAAAATAAATAAAATATTTAAAATGAAAACTGAAAGGAGGTTCCAATTTGCAGGACTCAATTTGCAGGTGAGTGCTAGGGGACTGCAATGAAATAAGGTCTTAAGCTGCTGGAGCAGTCTAGGACCTATAAATTCTAGAAAGTAATAAACTGAAGATCCATTTCAAGACACTACCCACACCAGGGAGGACTTAGTGGGAGCAGAATCAACATGGAATGGGACAGAGAAACAGGTTCAAAGGAAAGAGAAAGAGCAAATATAAGTGTGGGAGGGAAGCAAAGATGGCAGATATTGGGGAGCACAAAGCCATATTTCTTAGTATTTTGTGAACACAACAGAAAAGAAATCTCCAAAACTTTGAAACTAGAAAAGCTATTCTGACCTACCCTTCTCATCTAAAAGTATAGTAAAATTTACTGCACTTAAGCAAAGACCACAGAAAAGGATTATGGTCAAATTTTATATGAGGTTATTAAAAGAAAAAAGAGCATAATAAGATCACTAAAGAATGACAGCACTCCAGAAAGTAATATCCACAAAACGAATGAAAATTTTAATTTAGTATTTCACAGTAAGCTAAAAGGTACTGTAACAAAACATAGCAGTTCTCAAAGTGTGAGTCCCTAGCTCCCTGCAGGTGCCTGAGACAATGTCCTGGGACCACAAAATCAAAACTATTTTAGACAATTATTTTCATAATTATAGCAAAGCACTGATTAGCTTTTTCACTGTGTTGACATTTGCAATTATGGAGAAAAAGCAAAACTACAGGGGCCTTAGGATGAATCAAGGCAGTAGCATCAAACCTCATCTGTAAGATGGTCATTGTATTATTCGCCACTGTATGCTTGCAGTTTTTAAGAAGCCAGTTACACTTAAGAATGCCCTTGAAAAAGCAGTAAAAATGGATAATTTTATTAAATCTTGATGCTTGAGTGCATGTCTTTTTTACATTGTGTGACTAAATGGGAAGTATATATGAAGTACTTCTGCCTCATATGGATGTGTGGTGGATGTCTTGAGGGAAAACATTTGTATGATTTTTGAGATGTCAGGCCACTTTTTAATGGAATACCACTTTAACTTGGAAAAAACTGACATATTATGGTTATTCAGACCTGATATGTGGCAGAAATTTTCTTGGAAATAAACAAAGTGAGCCTGTCATTTCAGGAAAACAACTCATAGTAATTATTGTCAATCATAACATTTGAGCTTCTGAGCAGAAATTAAAATTTTGGAAAACTTGTATTTGCCACCATGAACTTGACAGTTTCCCAACATTTAAAAACTTTTAAAAAAGATTTTACTCATTTATTTTTCAGAGAGAGAGGAAGAGAAGAAGAAAAAGAGGGACAGAAACATTGAGGTGTGAGGGGAACATCAATGGGTTGCCTCTCACACGCCCCCAACAGTGGACCTGGCCAGCAACCCAGGCATGTGCCCTGACCAAAAATCAAACCAGTGACCTTCAAGTTCGGTGAGCTACACCAGTCAGGGGTAAAGACTTTTTGAATGAGATTGGTGATTATATTAACAAACAGGATTTTTAATGTTATATAATGAAACTTACCAATATTTAGAAAATTTACATATCTCAGACAGTTAATATTTTTCAAATGACTAAGGCATGATGCTACAAAATCATATATGGGTAAAAGATCCACTTAAATGCAAAATACACCAATGGGTTTTAATGTAATAGAGTGCAAAAAAATACATTGACATGGTTTTAGATTCCACATATGACTCAACTTTGAGAAATTACCATTTGTCTGTTTTTAATGTCATATCAAATAAGAACATCCACAATTCTCTGAAAAAGATATTAAAATATTCCTTCCTTTTCCAACAACATATCTGTGTAAAGTGGGATTTTTTAAAACATATTTCAACCAAAACAATATATCATTACAGATTTAATACAGAAGCATATATGAGAATCTGGCTGTCTTAAATTAAGACATTAAAAAATTTGTAAGAACATAAAACAGTGTCCCTCCTCTCACTGTTTTTTTTTTTTGGAAAATATATTTTTCAAAAATATTATTTATGTTAACATATAATGGGTATGTTAGGGTTACCTTTTAATGAGTTAATAAATATTTTAAATTTTTCTCAGTTTTCTAATAGGGTAAATGTTGGTAATATAGACTACATTAATAAAAGCTCTCTGAACTCCTCAATAATTTTTAAGAATATAAAGGTATCCCAAGACAAAAAGTTCAGTGCTGAACAATGTAAATTAGAAGAATTCAGAAGAATATTGGAAAAAATGAAGATTTAAAAATAGCAAAGACAGAACTTAAGAAATAATAAAAATAAAATTAAAAGGTAATTTCAGAAATGAGTACCAAAACAAAACAAAACAAAACAAAAAAGAGAGAGGGAGAAAACAATTCTACTTCCGGTATATATCTATATATCCAAAAGAATTGAAAACAGGGAATCTAACAGATATTTGTCCACCCATCTTCAGAGGAACATAACAATAGCCAAAGGGTGGACATGTCTATTATGAATGAATGGAAAAGCAAAATGTGGTCACACAGTGAAATTTTATTCAGCCTTGGAACAGAAGAAAATTCTGATACATGATACAACATGGATGAACCTTTAAAACATTATGCTAAGTGGAATAAGTGAGGCACAACAAAAGTAAAAATACTACTGGCTGGTGTGGCTCAGTGGATTGAGTGCCGTCCTGTGAAACTAAAGGGTCACTGTTTTGATTCTCAATCAGGGCACAAGCCTCGGTTGCAGGAGGTCCCCAGTAGGGGGCGTATGAGAGGCAACCACACATTGAGGCTTCTCTCCGTTTTTTTCTCCATCCCTTTCCTCTAAGAATAAATTTAGCCCTGACTGGTGTAGCTCAGTGAATTGAGTGCGGGCTGCAATCCAAGGGGTCACCAGTTTGATTCCCGGTCAGGGCACATGCCTGAATTGTGGGCCAGGTCCCCAGTAGGGGGTCACACCAGGTAACTACACATTGACATCTCTCTTCCTCTCTTTCTCCTTCCCTTCTCCTCTCTCTAAAAATGAATAAATAAAATCGTTTAAAAATAAATAAGTTAATTTAAAAATTTTAAATAGTAAAAATTCTGTCTGATTCCACTCACATCAGGTACCTAGAATAATCAAATTCATAGAGACAGAAAGTAGAAAGGTAGTTGTCAGGGGCCAAGAGTAGGTGGGAATAGTTAGTTATTTTTTAAAGGGTATGAAGTTTTTATTTAGGAAGATGAAGTTCTGGATATGAATGGTGGTAATGGTTATATATCATTGTGAATGCATTTAATGCCACTTAACTGAGCACTTAAAATGCTTAAAATGGTAAATTTTATGTTATAGATATTTTACTGTAATTTTTAAAAATGGAGAATGTCTCTTTAGATATAATTTATAGGTATAACTATAAAATTTTAAAAATATAAGACAGGAGGAAATCTAGGTGACCCTGGTTTTGGCGATAAGTTTTTAATATAACACTAAATATATATTTAAGATGAAAAAGAAATGAAGTATAGTCATGCAACGGAATACTACTCAGGACTCTGAAAGAATATCCATTATATTTTAAAAAGTCAGACACAAAAGACTATGTACTGTACGATTCTTGTTATATGAAATTCAAGAATAGGCAAACTATGGTGGTAGAAATCAGGATATTAATTGACTATAGAGATAATAGACTGACTGGAAAAAACAGGAAGGAACTTTCTGGGATGATGAACATATCTGGATTTCAGGTGTGGTATCCAAAATATACATAGAACTCTTAAGATTCAACAATAAGATAACAACCCTACTAAAAAATGGGCAAAAGGCCCACCCAGACAACTCA